GTGATATTTTTAGGCCCTATAAAGTATCAACTGTATGCCCCGAAAGAACTGAGCACATCGCTGACCATGTCTGCACATGCAGGTAAGTGAATAAAGTTCAAGGCCAAAGTCTGTTAGAACAATCCATAGTTCCATTCTGGGAGATCAAATGGTTTCCCGAGCCTGCCAGTCTGGGGAGGCAGGAAGAAACTGGAGCAGCTCAGCAAGCTCCACGTGACCATGTAGCAAACATGAAACTCTGCACAAACAGAAGCTTGAGAATGGAAGACCAAGTGCCATCGTGCTGTCCGAACAAATCAGTCCAACTGGCACATTTCAGATGTACTGTACTGTATGTCTTTCCAGAATCAATGAAGTTGTGCTGAAGAGCCCCAGTCTAACTGGTCTTGTACTGTAGGTCACCTGTTACTAAAGACTGGCCATACCTGCGTGTTACTGATGAATTAAGTAAGTGAACTGTTCAGTTAAGGGGCTGAAAAACGCTCATATTTTTCAGTTCAAGCTTTATTATGCTCTTGAGGAAATTTTATAGCATGGTCCAGTGCAACAATTCAACAAGGAAGACAAACATTACCACCAGAGAAGAAGAACAATAGTGTTACAAGAGATAGGAGAATTACTTTCCATTGTTTGAGAGAGGAATTGCAGTGGGGACAAAAGATTTCCTGGGTCTATTACTTTTATACCTGGGGACACATTTTGGTCCCAAAAGATCTTTAAATTGCTTAGTTTAACAGCCTGCTTAATTGGTAGCAGTGAAATCGTTCAAAGTCTTTGGAAATTGATGATGTGTTAGTGACCTATTAAATCTGTTGGATTGGAGTGCAGGGTTGGAGACCTCTGTGCTAGTGTCAGTGTCAGCAAGTGGCTTTAAAGTACAGAATAAGTACAAAAGAACGGTGAAACGAGAGGGGGTTATTTGACCTATCTAGCCTGGTTGGTAGTTAGTAGATAATTGATTCAACAATCTCACCCATCTGTTTCTGGATCGCCTTCACTATTATACAGTAGCTGAACAGCTAGTAGCCTGTTCCATACTCCAACAACACTTTGTGTAAAGACATGTCCTCCATTTCAATTTTTTAAATGCACGTCTACGTGGTTTCCACTTGTGTTGTCTTGTTCTTGTTTAAGAGTTCAGTCTGAAGAAGTCTGCGGTCTTGTAATAACACTGTAGCAATAATGCAATAACGCATAATAACAGTGCTTTTTATTTCCACAGTTGCTGTGTCCGTCAAAACATTTTGCAAATTTTAAATACGATTTTTGCCCTTGACTGAAGACAAGACATACAGCAAGTGCCTTCTAAAAATGGGGATGGGGAAATTGAAGTTAAGGTGTTTTAATGCAACCGGCAACTAAAGTACTGGAGAAGCCTATACAGTATGTAATACAGAGCACATACAGTACCACAGGGATCCCCATCTCCTCTGTAGACTGGGAATTATACCCGGCTGTGTCACTACCCAAACAAAATCAAGAAACAAAAATAGTCAAAGAAATAAAACCATTTTATGACCCACCTGCAGTTGCTGTGGTTTTATGGGCAACTTGCAGCAAGCTTAGAGAAGTGCTAACACCACAGTTTTGTTTTTGAGCTTGGTCTATGAAAGTCGAGGTTTGCGAATATACAGGCGGGCTTTTATGTCATTTTCGATAAAGACATAAACGCTGTATTCAAAACAACGAGTTTGAAACCAGGTATTCAAACCAGAATTTTAAAGATCCATGCGCATCTTTTTTTAACATGCAACTGACCGCGTTTTACAACGTCGAGTCTCCCGACAGCCAGGTTTTATGCATTGCACACACAGGACGTGGAAAATGTGAATTTTTAATATTCAGTATATCTGACATCTAACTAGGACTTATGCAATACTCCAGCAATAATAGCTACCATAAAAGAGCACTGCTACAGTACCGTTCCGACAGAATAAACAACATGTATTTTGTTTTTTCACAAGGGGGTAACTGGAATCCTTATTCCACAAGAACAGCTCTTGTACGGAAAACAAAAACGACTGTACAGTATCTCCGAATTTGGGCTAATACAGCCCCCAAAACGTACTGACCTTGCACATACTGTACAAGACCTAGTGGATTAAAAAATAAATGTGTAAGCCAATCCTCGCATATCTATGCAATTTATATGTCTAATGTTTATGCTGGATACGGAGACGAAAACATTAAGATGCCAAGTTTTAAGCAGAGTTTAACGTTTCTTCCGCACGTACAAAGACGTTCCTCGTTCGAAAACCTGATATCGTATTTAGCAAATATGGCAACAATGTCGCACAAAGGGCAAAGGGTTTTCTGTATTTTGAAAGCGGTGATCCATCTCTCTTCATGTCACAAAAGAGCTATTTTATTAAACGTTTCAAAATATTTCATTCAACGCACCTCTATATTTAGTACATCTTACTGACAAAACAAGGTAGGGATATAGCCCTCCAGGACGTCTTCAAAAGTAACCGATTAAAAAAAAAATTGAATTCGCGCCTGCTAGCAATTACGTGTGGGAACAACAGGATTCTGTGTAAGTGTTTTTCTCGACTTGCAGAAACCAAAGGCAAATGTTCGGCACAATGAACTACTGAGTTCAAAACTCAACTTGCGTGTAGCGCGGTTTAGCAAAGGCTCGCTGGAGCTTCACAAAGTGAAGCTGGGAAGACTTCCTCTCTGAATCGGGCTTGTGTGGAGCAGAGGGGACCCTGAAAGAGACCAGTCTACGAGACAGGAATGCGAATGAAACTAAAAGACAAAACAATCTAAGTGCACCGCCAAGGAAATTCCTGCGCTGAAGGCAGAATGAGCCGCACTTCATTAAAAACACAGAAGTCACCAGATCCAAACTGGGAGAGAAGGCTGTATGAATGCCTTGCCTTTAAAAGGGGGGGAAATTCTTTCATCAAATATTACCGTAGTGGTAACTGGAGATCGTGATTCTAAATGTCCGGCATTGTTCCACAGAGAGGGCAATTTTCTAAAAAAAAAAAAACAGCAACTATAAATTGACGAGCCCAAATCGCGAGTTTTGATTCATCCCTTGGTCGCCCAAGGTTTTCGCGTTGATGACATATAAAGAATTCCTCTTTAATGTTTCAGCTCAACTGGCACAATTGCTTATTCACAAAATCACCATGACAACTCCGAGGCCGACAATGTTTCTCCCCTCTTCTCTTTGCAATTCAATTCCTTCTGTTAATTCTTTCTCCCACTGTTCTAATGACAGTGTAACCTTTTCAATGCCGGAAAGCACCGTGCAACAACAGCTTTCATCTAATAAATTGCTACTTGAACAGATCCGTTCGTGTCTTAAATGCTAATTTGGTTAAAAACAACAGAACAACAGGACACCGAAGAAGAAAAATCATGAGCAGGGCTGTATGTGGAAAAAAATATGTATTTATTTATTCATCAGCTTTGGTTTTTCGATCATAAAACTGAAAATCTCACCATGTAACAACAATAAACTTTATTTTTACGACAGATCGTTCAAAACGACATGTTTTGTCACACGGGCTATATTTCCTAATGCAGAGAACGTACTGAAGCATAATCGCCGAAAACGCTTGATTTCACAACAGGTGTTACAGTTCCAAGCCCTTTAAACATTTTGCCACGGAATACAACCTTCACGTCCGCAATGCAAATGAAACTGTGAAAATGCAACATCACTGGAATAGTGTTCGGGAGTAGATCAGCAGACGAATTATCACACCAATTTCGGAAGAACGATCAGTTTGGTCAGCAGAGTGCTACAGACATAAACGGCGTCTCGGATGCAGCATTCGCTACCTTTCTTGCTGTACAGTAGTATCTTCTGGAGCTAAGCTAGGCGATCATTCACTTAGCGTGACACAGAGGCTATAATTCTCCCGGACAGCGTAAAGCGCATTTCTTGCCCTTGCACAAACACACAGTGCCATTTTTTAAACAACATTCAGGAAAGACACTTCATATTTTGAGAAAGATGAGCCACTCGTTCGCCACCGCTCTCCCTACCCAACAGAGACTGTAGACGGGAAATTGGAGGGGGGGGGGGATTTCGGAATCAAGTTAATTCACGACATATAACTACAGCCATGTTTGTTCAATAAACTGCTACCGTATGAACCTTAATTGCGGAAGCTAACGGCTTAACAAATTACGTAGAACAGGTTTTGTGTTTACTCGCTCTACTTTTACTATCGACTATAAAGCTTATGCTGCACTGCCACCTCAACACGAAGGGTGTCTGCTACATCTTTTATACAGTATATTGCAGCCACAGAAGCGCGCTTTTAATTGCCATCCAAAATCTTCGGTCTCGTTATTTTGACCAGCAAGCTTTAGAAACGCGTCTAATAGTGAAAATCTGCCCTTTAAAAAATAAGTTATTTATCAAACTAAATCACCGTCCTAAATGTATACGTCTCATTCGTCTGTAACCTACCTGTCCTGAAAATCTATCCAAAAGAAGGTAAAACCGCAACGATTTCACCGAGCTCGGGGAACGCACTTTTCCTCGCTTCCTGTATCAACCCAATTTGCACGACATTCGATAAGTTAGAGATAATCAAGGTAAAAGACTGGGGGCAGGGAGTAAAGAGATGGAGCAAAAGGATTAATGAGTGTTATTTATGCATTTTGATTGAAAGTAAGTTTGGAAAAGTAGCCCAATAATAATTCGTCTTTCTGAGTCTTTTTTTTAACGTTCTGATAAATCAGAAACGAATCAATGGGCGTTCAACACAGCAGATACATTTTATGACCTCACAACAGTTCAAAAGTGTAAACAATTTGTCGCGGAAAAGAAAAACAAAAAGATGTCCGATTAAAATCCAGACTGTTTTCCCGACTGACAGACATCCCGAAAAGGTCTTTCTTAATGTCACCGTGTAACCGCTCAAATTACACTAGCAATGCGCTTCCAGATTAGCATCTAGTTTTGACCGTTTCCCTGCACATTGCTCGTTAACACATCCTGAAACATAAAAGCAGACGGAAATACGACTCACCTGCTTTGGCGAACTATCATATCCCCCATTCCTGATGGAATTAGAAAAAGCCACGTTATTATTTTATCTTAGGAAAATATAGTGATATTTCTTAATGATTTTCCGTAAAAGCTTTTTACTGTCCTCTTTATTCTGACACTTTTCTACACGGTTATCCTTTTTATGCTTGTCCCGTCCATATATTTTATTTTACCTCCTTTTTTTAATCTCCGGGTACAATCCTCCGTAGTGATGCATGCCCTGTCTTGCCCATCCGTGAGGTCCCAGTGTGTGTGCGCGCAGCTCGGTCGTCGAGCAAAGTCGGGGGCGCCCATAGAGACGCGCGTTCCTAAGCAACCAGGGGTACGCGCATCCCTGTTCACGGTGCTTAACTGTTGAAGAACCCAAGGAAAAGCCATAAACTGGAATTATAGAAGTCCATTCGTTTGTTTTGCAGTTTGTCGTGCATGTTACACGAAATGTCTTGTAGAGAACGAAACCCTGGCAAACCGTGCACTTTCTTTTAAATATTAATTCGTGGATAATCATTTTTTCTATCGCTCCTGATATTTTAGGTTGAACCTGAAATGTATTTTATGGTATTTTTATTTCAGTAATGTCAGTGGATTGATGAATATTGCACTGTTGCCCTCCACTGTTGTCTTTTTCAGTCTTCTCCGCTCGTACACAGCCGCATCACGTTTATAGCCCCGTATACTGTATATTCCCTCCCATCACTGATAAGAAAATTGGGCAATTACATACTATTGGGCATACCTTTGGAGGAAGAAACAAGTTAAATATATAAACATGCCTTTTCAGTTGAAGAAAAAGTTTAGAAAGAATCAGTATTGACGAGTGCATTTGAAACCACGATAAAAGTAAAATGTACACAATAACTTGTAAAACCTCCAATTTACATCACAATATAGACTAAACGTGCAGGTACTGTATGTGCAGCATCATATTCAGAACGAGGCAATAAAACTTCCAGCGATGAGAGGCGGCCCTAGTACATTGTAAACAAGCAGACTTGTGAATGCTGTACATCTAATCCAACAGAAATGTTGCTCTCGACTTTGAGACGATTGCGCCAACAAATACTACTGACCTGTTAACTTTGCATGCAGATCACGTTGAAACATTTCTGGGGTGAACTGTCCTCTGCACAACCTGTAATTATTCGCTTGCACGTCATTACAGTGACTAGTGAGCAGGAAGGGCCGTATCACAATTTGTGCAAACTCTCACTCTTGGTGGCAAGACCAGCAGTCTGCGACAACATGGCAAAATTGTAGTTTTTTTCTATGCCATTAATGAATTTATTTTGCTACTGAGATTTAAGAGAAATTGGGACTGCAGATCCCCTTTAAGAGTATAGAAGGAATTTATTTGCATGGACAATATTATCTGTACTTTAATGTACTGTATAGCTGAGAGGCTGGTCATTGGGAGGTGTGGCTGTTTTAGTGATCATAGAGATCCTGACATTTGCCAGATTGTTCAGTATAGCAGAAGAGAAAAGGCCGAAAAGTTGGAAGAGTTAGAAGTTGCTTTTCTAATGCAATGACTGGTATCCTGAACAGTGCCCTGGTAGCGTAATTTAATTCTCTGTCTGAATTATGTGTATCTCTCCAATTAAATACCTGTGAAATTGGATTTGAAATTGGAAAAGTATCTCTTTCATTTATTTTAGAAGCCCTAAATTGATGCCAAACTACAGATTATTATTATTATTTCTTCTGTTCTCCAATGCCTACGGACAGACATATTCAGGGTTCGCTGGAAATTCATTCAGCCTCTTTTCTTGCTTTGATGGCTTCAGAATGAAGCACAGTACAGAAAGCATGATATGCACAATTAAACTGATAATATACCAATTATATGAAGATCTCCAAAGCCTGTTTATGATGAAAAATACATACATATATGCACCACCAAATAAGATATTTCTCAATAAACAAATTCAATACTGGCTGAGACAGCGTAGTAATGTTCCCCATGCTCTTGAGACAAAAAAGGAAATAGCAAGTTTTCTATATTGTTGCCTCACTGCTGGTATTGATAATCGTAGCATTTCCCAACTTGTTTATTGCCTGTTGGTTTTGCAACAAATTGCCGTAAAGCCTTCGAGAATAAGCTTTGTTGGAAAAGTAAGACCACAAAGTATCTGATGCTGCAGGTTGCAGGCTGCAGTTGCAGGTCTCCTGTTCTTATTGCAGGGCCTGCAAGCTGCCCGCTGAACGAAACATGCCATTTTACTGGTGCACAAAAGAAATGCAATGCCATAATTCAAACACAGATAAAAAAAAACAAAGAATGTGTGAACAACAATATGGATAAAAGAAAGTGACTAGAAATCAGCAGAAATGCAATGACACGGGACCAACAATAGTTCTACAACAGAACTATCTTATATTTTATTCGAACAGCTATTAACCTGAACCTATATTTGAACAATTCATAGTATATTTCACTTTAAATTTATTTCTTATTATCCATGTTTCTTGTTTGCTAACGGGTTTATATTGTGTTTAATGGGTTGTGTATTGTGTTATGTCTTTTACCTGCCAGCCAAGCAAATTTCCCATCTGGAACAATAAAAGTATAGTAAGACCTACTGTATAGATGTTTAGGGGAATATCAGTAAATCTGCAAGAATTCATCTTGAGGTTGCATAGGAATTGACAGTTAATATGTCAATATGTTTGCAGTATTATCTATTTTGATGCATACAATTTAGATAATATTTTTAATGATATTCTAAATTAATCTGATTATATAAACAGCATCCTATGCACTATGTCAGTACAATCCATACAACTGTAATCTGTCTTCCATCACTGGTTACACTGTGATATGACATTTGATGCCTAGACAAGGCACATCAAACACGCTATATACTCAAATACTACATGTGAATTTACATATTTATTGTTTCTGAGTTGTTGGAGTGTTTACATGAATGTTAAATATTCAGGAAGAAGGCGAGGCAGCACGGTCCCCATCTACTTCTCTATGTCTGATCTGGTTTGCTGTGTTCACCCTACAGCTACCTCCTCCAGGTCCCATCTCTTGGGCTGTCCAGCTAATTCCCACTGCTGCAAGGCAAGAGGGTGTTTCTCAGATAAACTCGTCTGATACAGAGTCCAAGGTAAACACGTGAGTGAATTATTATTGATTTCCGGAAACGGATGCTGGTACACAGGTTCCTGTGTGGCCCTCAGCTCTGGAGCAGACAGCCCAGCCCTGTGCTTCAGAAAAACAGGTCTTCCACATGGACTCTTAGAGTGACAGCAATGTCTTCATTCCATTAATAAAAAAATACAGAAAAGGAGTAATCAGTTCCATATTATTCAAGCCGATCCATATGAATCAATTTGAAGATAAAAGTTAGTTTTTTTCTAAAGATAATGCGAATGGATACATTTTAAAACGCAAGCCAATCAGTCCCCCCTCTCTGCTCGCTACAGGAGTGATGGAGGTCAGCGACATACTGTAGAATGACAGAACAGTAATGTTGACCAGACTTTGCTTAGTCTCTACTATTATGTGCAGAGTAGCTCCTCTGTGATCCCTGCTTTTAGGCTGTAAAGGACTTTAGTTCTTCCCTCATAGCCCTGCCACAACTCTAAGCAATCAATTCTGCACCTTTGGGACTTCAAGGGCCAAGGGTGCAATCCAGCGTTCAATGCCTATGATATAGCACTGTATGTGCTAATGCTCAAGCCCCAGAATCGATTTTGACGATTAATCATGCCAATAATAATGATATTACTACTAATAATAATATTTACACTCTTGACCAAGATCCATCTCTAATACTACTGAATAGGAGGAGTAGAGCTCTGTCAATATTCTGTTAATCTGTTACAGATTATAAATAATTTATTAATGGGCACTGTAGCCCCTGAACTAAAATGCTCCATATTTATTGGGAAATTGCAACAACATTAAAAAAGCAAGGTGCACTGTTGTAGCACCACCCAAAAGTGTACATGTGCCACAAAAATATTTCCTATGGCACATTGAATTCTCTCTGTGCTGTTTTTTGTTTCCTTTAGCATATGTTTACCACTTGTTTTTCATATTCCTTCTACGCAGAAATGTATCAGACTAACGACACCATCCAGAAAAGTCTCCCTTTGAATGCCAGAATAATAACAAACAGTGGGCTAATAGCAGCTTTATAACCATACAAGTTTGAGTTACTGCCATTTAGGTCCTGTGCAAATGTGCCACCACATCAGAAGCTCACCCAGATGACTTTGATGATAAACCCGTTACCTGCTCCTTTGCAAATGACTTTAATATGCATACTTGCTTTGGTGAATGATTACAAATGGCTTGAAGGAGGAGATGCCACATACTGTAGGATGTCTCTAGTCTCTATTTATTCACTTCTTCGAACGGAGAAACCTGAAAGTTCCTGGAAGGGACTGGGGAAGAATACACACAATATAGTGGCATTTTGTCAAAGGCTCAGAGCCACGGGGGTGAAGGCAGTTTTCAATGGTCTGCTGGAGACGATTACCTTGTTTCTTTGAGATATTGAGCTGGAGAGGCAGGGCAAGACACCACTCTGGGGATTTAGAATGGTTAATGTCTTTTTGCAATGAAGGATCTGAGTAAACAAAACAAATGTACCTGAAGGCAAAAAAAAAATGAACCTTTGAATCAAAAGTGAGACATTAATCAGAGGACCCAAGTGGGAACAACCGTGTGGCCTCAACAATCCAGAAAAACCAAACAGGAGTGGTTTTCCCTGGGAGGATGTCGAGAAAGAAAATATTGTTCTCTCTGAAGAACACCGCTGCCCCTCTCCAGTTCACCTGGACGATCCACAGAAATACTGGAAGAATGTTCTCTGGACAGATGAGTCAAAAGTTAAACATTGTGGTCATTATGAAAAGTAATGTTTTGTGTGAACAGAAGACCCTCATCCTGACCGTCAAGCATGGAGGTGGTAACACCATGGTTTGGTGCTGCTTAGCTGCCTCAGGAGCTCTGTGGCTTGCCATCATTGTCAAAAACCATAATTTAGATGTTTTATCAGCAAATGCAGGAGGAGAATGTCAAACTGTCTATTTGTCAGCTGAAAAGGACTAATGACAGCTGTTCATGCAAGGACATTTTCAAATGTAACCAACATGAAGCAGTTCTGTGAGGAAAAATGGGCTGAAATTCTTAAAATCCAATGCGAGGGACTGAAAAGCAATTATAGGAAACCTCTAACTGAAGTCATTGCCACACATACTTATTGATTTCAGGTTCTTCACTGTTGAATCATTTTAATAATTAAATAATC